ATTTCGTAATAATTCACTTTTCCTTATAAGGTGTGTGCACTGTTCAAAGCTTTTCGGTATCTTCTTTCGTTTAATATATATATAAATAATGAAAATTTTAAATAAAAAATCGCGCGATTTTTTATTAAAAATTTTCGCCTGCGGCGCTTTTCCCATAAAAATCAATACTTCGATAGATAATGAAAATTTTTAATAAAAAATCGCGCGATTTAAGGGTTGTTACCCTACACTAGAGAATTGCCGAAAGAAGATACCGAAAAGCATTGAACAGTGCACACACCTTATAACGAAAAGTGAATTATTACGAAATACTAATACAGTGGCAGCACTATAGCTATTTTGGAATATCGCGTATCGGTTCAAAAAGATTGTCAAGTTCTTTTTAATAACAAAATAATCTATCTTAGGTTGATAAAACTATGTGTTTGTTTAATAAATAAGTTAAACTATATATTTTAATAGTGTATAAAAAGTGAGAACAGGTGATTAAGTGAAACTTTGTCGGTGTAATTGCCCATAGAAAACAAGGAAATTTAACAAAAGTTTTTTGTTCATAACTTTTAAATGGTTAATAACATTAGCCTCCCCCTCCGGATTGTTAATAGGGGGACCGAAACGCGTCGTTTGGTACCCCTCCCGACTTTTCCGGACCTTTTTTAGGGGTTGTTACCCCACACTTGAGAATTACTAAAATAATAATAGTTGATAACGTCATTTTTTAATCCGTTGTTTCATTCACACACATGGTGTCATTCCGCTTCATTCACATGGCGGCGAAAAAATGACGTCACGGCGAAAAAAACTTTTCTCGCACACCTTCCTGCGTGATCTTTATTCGTTCGATCATGAAATAATGCTGCCAATTTTTGTTTCCTGTAAAGCTCGGAACACTTTGACGACAGCAAGCGACAAGCAGCATCTGTCAAATTTTAAATACACACGTTCTTACGGACACAATTATTTTGACGACAGCACGACATCTTGGCTTAAATCTATTTCTAATTTTGCCGGCGACAATGAGTAGATGTAGTGCTGCAAAATTAAATTGTCGCTAAATTAATCACATATTCTTGATTGTTCATGTTTTTCTTATTTACTTAAATAAAAATACACAATTTGTGAAATAAATATACCAAAATGTAAAACTTTAAAATCAGCTGTTTGCTATGTCGCTGAGGTCTTCAATATGTTTAAGAAGCTGGCTTCAAGGCGACATTTGTCGACAAAATGATGTCGCTGTCGTTACGTCGTGAAGTTGCAGTCGTCAAAGTGTTCCGAGCTTGAATCAATACGTGCAAATGCCAAAAGCGCTGGGAAGGAGAGTGCGCTATCAATGAAACGATAGTGGCGATAGTACTAAAACTATCGATAGTTATTTCAAGTGAGCTGACTATCGATAGTATCGTCGATAGTTTGACAGCTCGGGTTCATGGCTCTAACCTTTTCTAATAAAATACCGAAGATGGCATCAAACAAGTATGAGTTCAAGTTTATAACTGCTTTTTAAACAAAAATATTGCAGAGGCGAATGGTGAAGTGTATGGTTTCACAACAGTCGACAAAAAGCTGTCGAATTTTATTATAGTTGGGGCTGAGTAAACGTGGAGTGCTGGCAAAGGCAATAATGACATTTATACGAGATCCTTGCGGCATTGTATGCCTGGTCATCACCTACGGCGCAGTTATGTACGCTGACTATGTTGTCCTCCGCTGGATTATTCTGCTGACCATGGAGGCGAGGTAGGTAATTTGATAATCGACATAGTCATGCTTAAATAATTTTCCACTTTCCGATCAGCATTTGGGCACCAGTACATGTCATTATGTTTAATACGATAATTTTTCTCTTGTGCATGGCCCACCTGAAAGCTGTACTTTCAGACCCTGGACGTGTACCATTACCTGCGAATCGCATAGATTTTTCAGACCTTCATACTACAGGAAAAAATGAAAACGGAGTTGTCGGCGAGTGGTATGAAACTACATACATACATTATGTGTGTATATTAGAGCGGGTCGATTTGTAGGGGATCAGAAAAACGCATAATGCGGAAAATAAGAATATTATAATTTTTTGGAAAATGGGCGTAGCCACGCCCACTTATGATTACATGTGTATATCTTGGTAGCCGCTTCACCAATTTCTCCCAAACTTGGCACAGTTGTTGATCTTGGTACAACATACCAAACGATTGAAAATTTTTAAATTCGGACCTTAACCACGCTCACATCCTATATAACGGTTATTTAGAGAAATACGAAATCTTCGATAAATCAGTAAATACTGTAGGCTCATTCTATTTCAATTCATGCAGGGTGAATGGGTTCCAAATTCGAAATACACCTTTAAAATTTTTTAGGAAAATAGAGAGACACGTATTCAAAAAATAAAAAAAGGAATTCGCTGAATTACCAGCATCTGAATATTTTAGGGCAAAATGTGGGGGTGGGGTTCAGTAGCGCTCACAACTATTTCGGGCAATTCCGTCCAAAGGGGTGGCCCGATCCAAAAAATTCCACACACTTATAGTCAAGGGTCTACGCATTATTTTAACGCTCACTTTTGTAAATTTTGGTCACTAATTTATTTACCAATTGGGTTTGAAATATGTCCTTTTTTGTAAAATTCCGAAATTAGCGTACATTTATCACTCCTATTCTCCTTAAGGCATCCACTTCACCAATACATTTTTGTATTCCCCTTCACTTTATACTTCACTCGATTAGTTATAACTTGCTTTGCGACTTGTAATATAAATCAATTAATCGCAATTCATTAAATAAAAACACCTTCAAAATCACGCGTCTGACTTGGGTTGCATATGCAAATTAAATGGCGGAGTTCAGCTGTCAAACTCCAAAATATGCAAAAGAATGAGAGACAAAAGAAGATAGGATATAACCCAGTAAGCATTAAAAATATACAAAGGTGTTCTCTGCAAAAGGTATTCAGCTTCTTTTCTTCGCAAAACAGAAAGGAGAATTCTACTGCCTGAGGGTTATAATCCCTAAGTGCGGCCGAAGGCCGGCTACGCAGAAAGGTGTTCTCTGCAAAAGGTGTTCAGCCCCCCTTCTTTGGCAACACAGAAAGGAGAATTCTACTGCCTGAGGGTTATAATCCCTAAGTGCGGCCGAAGGCCGCCTACGA